AAGACAAATTTTGTGTCTTAAAGCTTTTCTTTACGTAAGCGCTTTCGTAAGTCGCCAGTGAAAAGACCGAAGTACAAAATACGCTGTTATATAATTACGTATGCATTCGTCAGGTAAAATTAAAAGAAGCAATGCTTATATTTCGTGGGGCTTCTTGAATAGTAATGGCAATTTTTCAACCAAAAGTCAAAGTTGTTAGTTTCATTTACTTATTAGCTGAAGTTTATTAACCTTTAGTAGTAAATTATTGACCTTGCGAATTATTTGCATTAGAATTTTATTTTTATATTTATATATAAAATAAACTTTGTATGAATTTTATGTTTCCAAAATTTTGCTGCTCACATACCTAATCTATTCACGTATCGAGATACGATGAGTGGCAAGATAAGTGGGTGATTTCAAGGTAAAACAGTTAATTGGTTTCTAATCGTTGCTCACGTCAAATGATAAAAGAACGATCAAAACTATGCTCCCTTTGATGTTCAATTGATAAAACAAGCCACTTGAGAAAAAAAAATAAATAAAAAAATCTAAAAAACCCAACTGCGAAGAAAACGAGATAAAAAGGCGGAAACACTATTCAAGCGTCAAAGTTAATTAATAATAATTTGTAAAATATCACTCTAGCTTCAAATGAAGTCAACATTCAAAAACTGCAAAGCAGGGGTTTAGTTTTTTTTTTTTAAATAGCGTTATTCTTTCTTCAGTCTTAACTGCGGGTGTGATTCTAGTAGATATTCAAAATAGGGCTTGAAATTTGTGAATTTTCCGTAAGATAGGAATGAAAGCCAGAAATTAGCCACAACACTAGTGGCTGTGGGGTTGTCAAGGTTCATTAAAGCCAAAAGAATCCAAGAAAGGCATATGGAAAATTAAATTTTTTTTTACTGCTGAAGAATTAATTTTTGTGCTACAATCACAACCTACTTCGAGTATCTTTAGTGTTTTTTGAGGGGTACAGGGATTAACTTGAAGCCAATAGAAAATATTCAGCGTTTAAATTTTGGCCTAATGTTGAAGCACATTAATTAAACAACGGCTTTTAATTACTCTTTACTTTAGGAGGATGTCACTTGAACTCGTGCTATCTACATCCCGCATTTTGAATTTTTTATAAAGTTAGGTACTTTAGAAATTAGCACATTATTGGGTTCGTGATAAGAAGGGTGTAGCCTCGTCCAGCTAGTTACGGACTGTCATATTATAACGATTGTAATGTGTATCAAGCTGGCATATCACTTATGCAATCCTAACATTAAATCATATGTGTAACTTGTAGTTAATTTGTAATAAATTGGATGATCTGCCAGCTCAATATAATGCTAACAGATCACATTGTTGTTTCAGTTGATCTCGCACTTGGAAAACGATCTAATTGGAATCGTAATTTGTAGCTAATTTGTAGTGAAATAATTAGTTTTGTAGTGTCTGTAGGTCTCGAGAAATTGGACGAATCACTAGCTTAACATCACACTAGAAGATCATATTTTTGTTTCAGTTGATCTCTGATTTGCAATCATAATTTGTAGCTAATTTGTAGTGAAATTGTAGTGAATGAATTAATTTTGTAGTCCATAGATATCGAAAAATCAGACTAGCATCAGTTCATTTGACTTCTTGGAATCGGCAGACACCACAAAATTAATTCTTTCACTACAAATTCACTACATATTAGCTACAAAATATGGTTCTAGTTATGTCGTTTTCTAAGCCATGATCTGCTAGCATGATTTCAAGCTAACAGATCATCATCAGATTTTTAGGAATCGGCAAGCTCTACAAAATTAATTATTTCACTACAAATTACACATATGTTTTAATGTGGAGGTTGAATATGTAATCTTATGCGGTTGTTGGGAAGCCATAATCGAAAAATGACACTGCTTTGAATCGGATCTAATTATCTAGGATTTTCCTAATATATTTTCCAATTTTTGCATGCCTGTTATCGTGCTTCTTTTGTTTCGGGAATTGCTTGTTTTTGACGCCTCGGATTTCGTATTATATACGCATATTATAGAATCGAATCTATCAAATGTAGACAGAGAGTAGCTACAGATTCCGCATGAGAGAATGCGTCCAATTGAGAACTTGGCAATTATCCCGAGGGATACACGTGGTTTGTTTGGTCGATTGACGTCACCGGAAAAACATCGACTCTGAGCGTTATTTCACACGAACACATGACAATGACAAGAAACAAACAAAGAAGCGACAAAGGAAACAAAATTTGACGACCTACCGAAGTTTTTAGGGATTCGGGGAATGTCTTTTTAAGTTGTATGGTAGGCGGGAACAAAGAACAATAGAATCATAGACCTTAAAGTATTTGTTTCGCTACAAAATACGTATAATTAAATTTTGTTGTCATAGTTAAATACCTTCGACGATTATGATCATACTCAATTAATTTAGTTCTTCATACACCATTGATATACGCCTTAATTTCTCGCAGACTGCGAGCTTATGTGGTAGAGTTATACACAAAACATGTTCTATTTTAAACCAAAGTTTACCGCAGGTTAATTTGAATTTGGAATATTCCGTAACACAGAAATAGCTCTGACATTGAATCTGTAAGACAAATTTTGTGTAGTAGCTGTTAAAGAAATCAGCGCGAAATTAGCTATTATATTATCAGAACGTGTTTTTAATTAGTAATTGGCACAAGCTTCTCTTTGTTGTCCACAAAAACAAATTACATAAGGACAATTGTTATTTTGTCTTTCAACAATTTGGAGTAATTAAACGATAATTGAATTAATTGAAGTATTTCGTACTTTTTGATAGTTTCTTCTTAGACCAGGTTAGCGTTAACTCGGACTAAGACTGCATTTTCGATTTTATTTTGTTTCCTAAATGGCCTAGTCAGCCGCCGTTGAGATTAACATGCCTTAATATTATATTATATAATTGTGTTTATATAAATGTTTAAAATAACAACAATAACTACCTTTGTTTCTTTGTGACTTTTCTTATTGGTTTTATTTCACTGTTAAGTTTGATCACAAAACAAGCATTCACTGAAAAGAAATCACCCTGTTCACTCTGATCTTCGAAAAGTCCACACGGTAACTAAGGAGATTTATTTCAAAACATTTATTTATAATTCGTACATAGAGCCGTGTTACGAGATCACTTGGAAAAGCATCGATTATAAACAGCAAAGGCGAAAAGCGTTTTAATATTTTTCGTGGGGTGTGTACTATGGTTTACGCGACTGTTTTGCTAAGGGCAATATTTTTTCAAAAAACAACGTCTACGCCTTGTCGACTTGGCTTTTATAAGTTTCGTTTTTCGGGGTAACATTATTAGAAATGTTTATACGTACGTATGCCGTCGTCGTAGTATCAGTTTTGGATGTTGGCCAAATACGAAGTTAATTTCTTTGTTGGGTGCAAAACCGTGTGTGCAATTCTGTTTTCAAACTTGATACATGGCACTTATGTGTTTTATATATGTGTGCATTGTGTATTACAGTAAATATGCCGCGAATTTAGTATGGAATCATAGGGGATACGTACGGATAGATTCCAAAATAAAACCAATATGTATCAAAATAAAATCAATGTATTGATAAATTCGCACATTTTTTGAATTTTGAAATTAGTCCACTCGGTTACATTTTTTATAAAAGCCGCTTCGGCAGGTACCAACTGTACATACCCAAAAGATGCCGATACATTAAGGGGATACAGTAGTACACGCGCCGTAGAGTAAAAACATTCTTATCGGTTCTAGATATCATGAGTTTAATATTTTGGACAGAGGTTTGAAATATTGTAGTAAGATAGATAAAGCTTTGTTCTAAAGCTTGTCGAAGGCTAGTTTTTAATTTTTTAATTTCTGTTGAAAATACGTGTCCTACAAGAAGTATCAATTTTAAGCACTTGTAAAAGCTTTTAATGACCGTATTATTAAAAACCAAAAACGTACCGAGTTAGTGTGCACCTTTGTCTATTACCATACAAAAAATTACATATTTATCTCGCAGCGTTAAATCACAGTGTTTATAATAGAAACCCATGTTTTCGAAAAAATTCACACTGGACACGAGCGGTCAATTCCCCTAATAAATGACACCGAATCTTTTTCTGTTTACCGATTGCAACCGCGAATAATGAAATTTTTAGCCGCGAATATAGGAACCGGGTTGCAATTTTTTCATCCGCGAATAATGAAAACGCTAATAAGGAAACCGTGAATAAGGAACTTTTGATGTACAGCAAAAGTAGCCAATTTAATTCGTAGTAGAACCTTAATTAATCTATACGTTAGAGACAAGGCGATAAATTTCTACGTTAGGTGTACCGCAAGACTTACATCTTGGGCACCTACTATTTTCATTGCAGCGAATTTCTAGTACAATGACAATAGAAATTAGAAGCATCTAACATGCATTTATGATGCAGTAGATAAATTGCATTACGGTTGGAATATTTTTCGTGTTTTGGCAGGGTTCAGATAATTTTTAATTCAAAGGTTGTAATTTGTAGCATAAAAGAATGCGCAATTGTCCAAGGACTTTTCTGAACAAATACTAGTTGTTGTCTGATGCATATCTATATAGGTACAATTAAGTTTTTGTGTGTTTTTCAAAAATTATCTTCGCCTTTTAATTTTTTTGCAAGATAAGTGAAAATTTATTCCAAATAAGATATCTCTTTTTAAGTGGACACAAATGTGTTGTGACATTGATCCTTAAATATAACAAAAACCGAAACAATTGACGGTTCAATATACAAGTCAAAAATAGATTCGAAAAAGACAAAACAAAAACGTACAAGCGTGGAATACTTTGTTACGTATAAAATTTTTAAAAGGAATTAACTTAGTACTGAAATAAACATAATACAAATGTATTTTGATGAAATAAGAATAATAAATATTAACAATTCCTTGGGATTGTAAATGTGAGAGACATTATTTTACAACTCCTATAATCATATTTCATTTTTCAGTTAAAGATTGTAGAAAAACCGCAAAAGATGCGTGAAATGCCACAAAGGCCATTGAGTTAAATGTGTAAGGACTAGGGTTTTTTAAAATTTCGTTCGACTGCTTGGGTTAGATAATGGTACGAACATGACTTCTTTTGTTGATGAATGCACTAGAGACTATAGAATACATTATTATGTTTAAATGGTTTATTGTTTTAAAAAATATTTCCTGGTTATTTTCGTGATTTAAATAATGAACAAAGTCAGGAATATGCGTAAAATTGTTTTAGTATTAATGAACGAATACATCTATTAGAAATTGTAATTTTAATTTTAATGTAAAAAAGTTTGCTTGTTTGTTTATTACGATTTCACACCTTAATTACTTAACCAATCATCATGAAATTTTGTACATGCATTGCCAGGGATACAGAAAAGGACATAGGGAATGTTTTATCAAGAAAAGAAATCGTGTTCCCTAAGGATAGAAAAATTAGTTTCATATGGTTGTCGATGATTATTGACTAGTACTTAGGATATCAATGCGAGCGAAGCCGCGGGTAAAACCTTGTATTATTTTAAATTTCACAGCTTACTAGTTTTATGTAGACATATACATATATAGGTATGTGTGTTAAAAAAATGGAAAAGTTGATTTAAAAAAAAAAAAACGCTCATTCACATTGCTAATAAATTTAATTTTATTCAATTTCCCCCAAGATATACAGTTTTATTGTTATTTTATTAGGCACAGACTTTTGGGTCCTGTTGAACACTGAAAAGTGGCAATTTATTATCGAGACCGTTAACTTCAAGCATTTCCTTCACGTCAGATAGTTGTGCTGATGACAAACTTCTCTTGCGGCTTATCACATGCAGAAATTTTAAAAAAAATTAAACATTTTTGATACTAAAGAGTAACGAGACCAACAAATGTATCAGTTTTACGCCTTTTACAGTAATATATATGGATTTAGTTATTATTACCCCGTCTGTGAGCCTTGTCAATATTGGAGCATCTGTAAAGAATGGCGAATTCGTTGTAAGTAATTCCAATGACTTTAAATAGCAATAGTTTAGGTTCTTGGGGATAATCCATTTCCAAAATCCCTTGTAAATAAGAACTGTCTGCCAATGTTATTTTCCCTTGCCTTTTAACTTTTACACCGCTGGTTACATTTTTTTGTTCATAAACGGCATTCATACTTTTAGGACCGGTTGAAGTATAACGTACGACCCGGCAATCGAAGATTCTTGTGTTTGCTAAAACAGGGTAATATGGCGCCCCATTCGCTGCAAACTATAAAAAAAAAAATGAAGCGGGTGAATGCATTGTTTTTTTTTTTAAATTTTAAATACAGTTTATTTACCTTCTCTGTTTGGAAAAATTGTACTGCTGATACATCCCTTCTGTCTTTGTCGTTACATTGACCTGGCGAATCTAACTGTGAATAAGAAAATGAAAATAATGCAAGAAAAACAATCGCTGAAAAATGGTTAAACATTTTTACTCCGTTTGATTAGCAACTTTCAAAGCAAAATTGTTCAGCAAATTGAATTAACTGACCCACTTGGGTCTGGTCACGTATTTATGCGTTTTTCTATCGAATAAGTGGTGTTATCTCCTACATCTCAACCGGTGATAATAAAATTCGGGTGGGAAACAATTTTCTTTATTATAAAAGCCGTATATTTTGTATATTTCGATATGTATGCACATAAGTATGTATATGTTTGTGTCAAGAAATTAATTTTTCAACTTTATTTTTTCATATGTAATTTTGTGCATTACGGATTTTTTATAAAAAAAAGGAAAAAAAAATTGTCAAAATTGAATATCCATTAAGTAATCTTATTATTCCGTGTACCCCAGTTTTGAGCACTTGGGCTAGTCTAGTTTTAAATTAACGTAATCTGAATTCTTAGTATATAGTTGCTGATATTATTAATAACAACTTGGCTAGACTAAGTACAGGATTCACTCATAATTTTTTCATAATAGGTTGAAAACCCTGGGACATCAGAAAAATTTAATTTTCTCGATGTACATACGCCGTTCAAAAGTTTATCTAGTACTTCGGGACATCTATGATGTAACGATAAATTATTCAGTATGCAAAATTAATTAATCTAGTTTTGTGTTATTATGGAACTAATGCTTAAATTTTTGAAGTAAAACTTCTTTACGCACCGTGGGGTAAGTTCGTTTCAAGCGGGTTGCTATGTAACGAAATCATGCAACGGGAGTCCCCCCTCTACTCGGCCACGTAGTCGAGTTCGTAGTGGGGATCGCTTGAGCCATGAGCGCGCTTTAATGCAACGTTCGTTACAGGTAACTCCGCCATGTATAGTGTAAAATTTAAATTCATAGTGCACAAATAATACCATTAAACCTCTATCCCGGTATGTTTGTGCGTTTGAAGAAGTTTCACTTCAGTAGCGTCTTGTATAATTACACGTTGTATTTTTTTTTTTAATTGTAAATTTACCGATGACTCGCATCTATCAATAAATGATAAAGCNGACATGTACATGTACACAATCTTTGATAATTAAATGGAAGCAGGTGAATGTATTGTTTTTTTTTTTGTTTTAATTATAAATACAGTTTACTTACCTTCTTTGCTTGGAAAGATTTTACCGCTTTAACATTCTTTCTGTCTTTGTCATTACATTGGCCTGGCGAGACCTGTGAATAAGCAAATGAAAATAATGCAAGAAAAACAATCGCTGAAAAATGCTTAAACATTTTTACTCAGTTTAATTAGCAACTTTCAAACGAAAATCGTTCAGCAAATTGAGTTAACTAACCCAGTTGGGTCGGGTTACCTATTTATATGATTTTTACCGATTTCGCGCATCTCTTAATTAATGATAAAGCTAATTAGTGTGTTCGCGCGTGAAAGTACTCATGGATATAATAATCGTATCTGTAAAATTTGAGGAAATTTTGTTTCAATTGATATTACATTTATATTAGACTTATTCAATACAGGGACTATTTATCTGTGATAATTATGTTATTAACTAAAAATATCAATGATTCCTCTATCAATGCGAGCGAAGCCGCGGGTAGAACCTATCAAGAAATTTTGTATACACACTATCAAGGGTACATTAAAGGACATAGGGTATTATGATAAATTTCATAGCTTACTTACTAGTTTTATGTAGACATATACATATATAGGCATGTATATTAAAAAAATGGAAAAGTTGAATTAAAAAAAAAATGCTCATTCACATTGCTTATAAATTTAATTTTATTCAATGTCCATCAAGATATAGAGTTTTATTATTTTATTATGCGCAGACTTGTGGGTCCTGTTGAACTTTGGAAAGTGGCAGTTTATTATCCAGACCGTTAACTTCAAGCATTTCATTCACTTTAGATAGTTGTGCTGATGACAAACTTCTATTGCGGCTTATCACATGCAGAAATTCTAAAAAAATGAAATGCTTTTGATACTAAAGAGTAACGACTTATAGGCGACTTATACTGTATCAGTTTCAGGCCTTTTCACATAAAATACAAGGTAGTTTCTTTATAAATACTTTTTCTCGGGTATAAAAGCTCAAAAAATCGTTAATTTCATATCAATCCTTACATGCACTAACTCATGTATGTAGGTAAATCTTTAAATTTACAGCTTTTACAGTAATATATATGGATATAGCTATTCTTACCCCGTCTGTTAGACTTGTCAATATTGGAGCATCTGTAAAGAACGGCGAATTCATCGTATTTAATTCCAATAACTTTAAATACCAATAGTTTAGGTTCTTGGGGATAATCCATTTCCAAAATCCCTTGTAAATAAGCGCTGTCTGCTAATGTTATTTTCCCTTGCCTTTTAACTTTTACACCGCTGGTTACATTTTTTTGTTCATAAACGGCATTCATACTTTTAGGACCAGTTGAAGTATAACGTATGACCCGGCAATCGAAGATTTTTGTGTTTGCTAAAACAGGGTAATATGGCGCCCCATTTGCTGCAAACTATAAAAAAAAAAAATATGAAGCGGGTGAACGCATCGTTTTTTTTTTCCAATTATGAATACAGTTTATTTACCTTCTGTGTTTGGAAAAATTGTACCGCTTTAACATCTCTTCTGTCTCTGTCATTACATTGACCTGGCGAATCCAACTGTGAATAAGAAAATGAAAATAATGCAAGAAAAACAATCCTTACTAGTTTTATGTAGACATATACATATATAGGTATGTGTGTTAAAAAAATGGAAAAGTTGATTTAAAAAAAAATGCTCATTCACATTGCTTATTAATTTGATTTTATTCAGTTTCCGCCAAGATACACAGTTTTATTATTATATTATTATGCACAGGCTTGTAGGTCCTGTTGAATACCAGGAAGTGGAAAATCTTTATCGATACCGTTAGCATCGAGGATATCACTCGCTTCTAATACTAGTTTTGATGACAAATAATTCTCGCGGCTTAGAACATAGAGAAATTCTAAAAAAATTAAATATTTTTGATAATAAATAGTAACGAGTAGTACATTCTTTATAAATACATTCTCCCGAATAAAGGATTGTATAATTTTTGGGGCTTTTACTGTAAGAGTTTGATACATGTTAGGTTTTTCCAACGACGATGTAATATAGGTATACTAAATGAGAAATTATTTATTAAGCATTACCGATAAGTTCTTGAAATGTTTGATAAGTAATTTCTAATTGTAAGTATTAGGTGTAATAATGTTTTAGGCAAACCTTGATTGTACGTGACTTTTTAAGATAATCTATAATTGGACTTTTCGGTTAAAAATTAACCGAATTAAACTGACGTTTAAAATATGTAATAAAAAAATGGAAAGGTTTTTTATGACTACATTCTATATCTGGTCTGTATGTCCGAATTTTGACGTATTAGAGGCGATCGCGCATAATTGCAAAAAATTTAGCGGGTGTCTATTCGGCTGTACAGTTGGTTGCATACTTTGTAAAGCATCATTGATAAAGCGTAGCAGGTACGAAACTCCGGCGATAAAAGCTCAAAAAATCGTTAATTTCATAGCAATTCTTACATGTACTAACTTATGCATGTAGGTAAATCTTGAGATTTAGAGCTTTTACAGTAATATATATGGATATAGTTATTCTTACCCCGTCTGTGAGCCTTGTCAATATTGGAGCATCTGTAAAGAATGGCGAATTCACCGTATTTACTTACTAGTTTTATGTAGACATATACATATATAGGTATGTGTGTTAAAAAAATGGAAAAGTTGATTTAAAAAAAAAAAAAACGCTCATTCACATTGCTAATAAATTTAATTTTATTCAATTTCCCCCAAGATATACAGTTTTATTGTTATTTTATTAGGCACAGACTTTTGGGTCCTGTTGAACACTGAAAAGTGGCAATTTATTATCGAGACCGTTAACTTCAAGCATTTCCTTCACGTCAGATAGTNTTGTACCGCTTTAACATCTCTTCTGTCTCTGTCATTACATTGACCTGGCGAATCCAACTGTGAATAAGAAAATGAAAATAATGCAAGAAAAACAATCACTGAAAAATGGTTAAACATTTTTACTCCGTTTGATTAGCAACTTTTAAAGTAAAATCGTTCAGTAAATTGAGTTAACTAACCTAATTAGGTGTAGTCGCGTATTTATGTGTTTTCTCATCGGATAAGCGGCGTTATCTCCTATTCCTGAACGGGTGATAACAAAATTCACTCAGGAAACATTTTTTTATAATAAGTTTGTTCAATATGGAAAATTAATTAATGTAGTTTTGTGTCATTATGTAACTAATAGTTAATTTTTTTCAGTCTCAAACTTGCCGATTTCTCGCATCTCTTAATGAATAATAAATTTAATTAGTGTGTTTGCGCGTGGAAGTACTCATGGATATAATAATCGTATCTGTATATTTTAAGGAAAATTTGTTTCAATCGTTATTACATTTATGTTAGACTTATTCAAGATAGGGATTTTCTAATTATGTTAATTATTTCATTCACTAAAAATATCAATGATTGCTGTCCATTTTATATGGACAACTCAATTATTATAATTATTCAATAACTTCTGTGGTGAAAAAATTGAGAAAACCAGCAACTTACCGTTACCCACTGGAAATGCTAAAAATTATTTTTGTATTGACAAACGAATTAAGAGTTTTTTTATAATGAAAAAATGTATATATGTTGAACATATGCAGCTTTCCTCGCATTCGATACATACATATGTAAGTACGTGTAAGTAAAATTGAAGTGTCTCAAAGTATACGGTTATTTGTATGCTATTTAGACAGTAACGGCAATTGTCTGTCTGTCTGTCTGTATGGGATAATTTTCGAAACGGCTGAAGCGATCACATTTGTGAAATAATCGTCACTTTTGTCGTCATTTTCAATACATAAAAATTGTGTCGCTATTTTTTGGGGAAATTTTGTTTAAACTTAATTTTTTTAATTTTCTAAGAATTTTGTCCCATATTACGTTTCTCCAACGTTTATTTGTGCTATTGTTTTAAAAACTAATTCATGTTTATAGCAAAAATTTGATTTTGGTCATTTTGGAAATTATTGTTATTTTACAATTAGGTTGTTACTTGTTAAATGTTTTAAGAGGTAGTCGAGCGAAGACATATATATGGTATGCATTAAATTAATTAATAAATATGTAGTTAAAATCTTTCTTACATCCAAAAAAGTTAAATTAAAATAATTTATATCGTGGCTAAAAACAAACTTTAATGGTTGTAATAGGTTAAAAATCTTGAGACTTTAAATTCAATTCCGTTGATGTTCTTGAGGTCCCCAAGACGCCAATCAAAAGTTCATTTACTACTTTGAGACATTTATTTAGTTAAAAATTTTTGGATAAGTCAAGTTAATTTACATACAATAAGTCCTTAAGTCTAGATCCAGTCTAGTTCTGAATTTGTTTTTTAGCAGTGTAGGTGTAAACTGAAAATATCGCTTGTAATCTTTAAGTCGATACAAACAGAAAAGGGGAACCGTGATAATCTTCTCAACGATTGCAGGGTATTCATGTACAAGTTCGATCCAAAAGTCATTCAAAACTTGAATCAGCTACTTCAAATTTTTGTTTTAATGAGGATGAATCCTTAATATCGATCAAGTTGTTATACTGCGTGAGAGGCAGTTAACATTGATTGTTTAGTCTGATTTGCGAATGGATTTTGTTCTAAGTGGCTGTACTGTAAGTCCACCTCTGGAAAATATTCCTTGAAGGATTTCTTTAGGTTCAATAGATGTTCATATATGTATTTACCTTCATTTGTAACTGATTTATTTTATTTTATTAATGATTTATGTGCTTTTATTGGGCAAATTAAAATAAAAAAATTAATAAAGAGTATCTACTAACCCAGCTGGGTCTAGACACGTATTTATTCGCTTTTTTTTTTGATCAGATAAATGACTTTATCTCTCACTCTTCAATGCGTGGTAAAAAATTTAATAGTAATTCTTCTCGTTTTTTAATTTAAAAAAAACTTGCGCTTGGGAAAACGCCGCCGGTAAAACGTATCATGAAATTTTGTACACATTGTCAGGGGTACAAAAAAGGTCGTGGGGTACTTTTTATTTAGGAAAAAGTATTNATATTATTATGCACAGGCTTGTAGGTCCTGTTGAATACCAGGAAGTGGAAAATCTTTATCGATACCGTTAGCATCGAGGATATCACTCGCTTCTAATACTAGTTTTGATGACAAATAATTCTCGCGGCTTAGAACATAGAGAAATTCTAAAAAAATTAAATATTTTTGATAATAAATAGTAACGAGTAGTACATTCTTTATAAATACATTCTCCCGAATAAAGGATTGTATAATTTTTGGGGCTTTTACTGTAAGAGTTTGATACATGTTAGGTTTTTCCAACGACGATGTAATATAGGTATACTAAATGAGAAATTATTTATTAAGCATTACCGATAAGTTCTTGAAATGTTTGATAAGTAATTTCTAATTGTATTAGGTGTAATAATGTTTTAGGCAAACCTTGATTGTACGTGACTTTTTAAGATAATCTATAATTGGACTTTTCGGTTAAAAATTAACCGAATTAAACTGACGTTTAAAATATGTAATAAAAAAATGGAAAGGTTTTTTATGACTACATTCTATATCTGGTCTGTATGTCCGAATTTTGACGTATTAGAGGCGATCGCGCATAATTGCAAAAAATTTAGCGGGTGTCTATTCGGCTGTACAGTTGGTTGCATACTTTGTAAAGCATCATTGATAAAGCGTAGCAGGTACGAAACTCCGGCGATAAAAGCTCAAAAAATCGTTAATTTCATAGCAATTCTTACATGTACTAACTTATGCATGTAGGTAAATCTTGAGATTTAGAGCTTTTACAGTAATATATATGGATATAGTTATTCTTACCCCGTCTGTGAGCCTTGTCAATGTTGGAGCATTGGTAAAGAATGGCGAATTCACCGTATTTAACTCCAATGACTTTAAATACAGATCGTTTAGGTTCTTTGGGATAATCTAATTCTATCCCTTGTAATTGGGAACCGTGTGATACTTTTACTACACCTTGCCCTCTAACTTTTACACCGGTGGTTAGATTTTTGTGTTCATAAACGGTAAGCAAGTTTTTAGAACTCGTTGCAAAATAACGTTCGACCCGGCAATCGAAGATAGGTGAGTTTGCCATTATAGCGTAATATGGCGCCCCATTGTCTGCAAACTATGAAAAAAAAATTATGAAGCAGGTGAATGTATTGTTTTTTTTTTTGTTTTAATTATAAATACAGTTTACTTACCTTCTTTGCTTGGAAAGATTTTACCGCTTTAACATTCTTTCTGTCTTTGTCATTACATTGGCCTGGCGAGACCTGTGAGTAAGCAAATGAAAATAATGCAAGAAAAACAATCGCTGAAAAATGCTTAAACATTTTTACTCAGTTTAATTAGCAACTTTCAAACGAAAATCGTTCAGCAAATTGAGTTAACTAACTCAGTTGGGTCGGGTTACCTATTTATATGATTTTTACCGATTTCGCGCATCTCTTAATTAATGATAAAGCTAATTAGTGTGTTCGCGCGTGAAAGTACTCATGGATATAATAATCGTATCTGTAAAATTTGAGGAAATTTTGTTTCAATTGATATTACATTTATATTAGACTTATTCAAGATAGGGACTTTCTAGCTATGTTAATTATTTCATTCACTAAAAATGTTAACGATTCCTCTCCATTTTATATGAACAACTCAATTATTATAATTATTCAATTACTTCTGTGGTGTAAAAAATGGAGAAAATCGGGAACTCATCGTTACCCACTGAAAAAAGCTAAAAATTGTTTTTGTATTGACAAACGAATATCTTTCTCACAGATATTTTTATAAATTCCACTGTTTGCTTGCTCTTTTCAATTTTCGATATTCAAAAGAAAGAAAAATTAATTAAAAAAAAAAACTCATTCTCCTTGTTAATAAATTTAATTTCAATCAATTTCCCATAAAGTCTACAGTTTTTTTGTTATTTTATTATGAGCAGATTTTTGAACTACAGAACATTGGAAAGTTTCAGTACCTACATTAAGAAGACCGTTTTTTTTTAAGAATTCTACTCAGTCTAGACCATTGGTCTTGTGAAAAAGTTCTATTGTGGCTTATCACATGCATAAATTCTAAAAAAAAATTAATACTTATGATACTAAACAGTATCTATATCAATGACGGCTAATCATAATTAGAAGTGTGTTAAGGTGGTGAAGCGGGTGTTATCCTGCGTGTGTTTGTCAATCGCTTATACCGCCTTTACTCACCCTAAAACCCTAAATACGTTTTTCGTTATATAAAATTGGATATTTTTTTTGGCTTTACCATTAAGGTTTGATACACGCTGGGTTTTACCAATGACGATAAGTTAATATTCATTTTGGAAATAAAACAATGTATCTACATAAAAATTGTGTCCCTAAATTTTGTGTAAATTTGCCTTTTTTTTTTTAATTTTCTAAGAATTGTTGCCCCATATTACGTTTCACAAACGTTTCTTTGTGCTATTGTTATAAAAACTTATTCATGTTGATAACAAAAGTTTGATTTTGGTTAATTTTCTAAAGTTTCACAGAAATTATTGTTAGTTTATAGTTTTAGATTTTTGGGTTGTCACTTATTAAATGATTTAAGAGTAAACTTTAATGGTTGAAATAGGTTAAAAATCTTGGGACTTTAAATTCAATTCCGTTGATGTTCTTGAGGTCCCCAAGACGCCAATCAAAAGTTCATTTACTACTTCGGGACATCTATTTAGTAAAAAACTGCTCGATAAGACAAATTAATTTACATACAATTAGTCCTTAAGTCGTTAATTTGCCGATGTCGCTTATCTCTCAATCTACGAAGAAGATAATAAACAATGGTGTGTTTCCACGTAAAAATACTTAAATTTAGAAATCTTACTGTGATTTTTTCAGACTTTCGATAACGTTTCGTAATAAATAATTGTATCGTTTTTTTTCTTTTTTCAAATTTAATCCGACAATTAAATTCGAATATCTCGAGTGAGATTCAGTCTAGTCTAAATTTGTAATCTTTAAGTCGATACAAGCAGAAACAGGAACCGTGATAACCTTTTCAACGACTGCAGGGTATTCATGTACAAGTTCGATCCAAAAGTCATTCAAAACTTGAATCAGCTACTTCAAATTTTTGTTTTAATGAGGATGAATCCTTAATATCGATCAAGTTGTTATACTGCGTGAGAGGCAGTTAACATTGATTGTTTAGTCTGATTTGCGAATGGATTTTGTTCTAAGTGGCTGTACTGTAAGTCCACCTCTGGAAAATATCCATCAAGAATTTCTTTAGGTTCAGTAGATGTTCTTATATGGTTTTACCTACCTTCATTTGTAACTGATTTATTTTATTTTATTAATGATTTATGTGCTTTTATTGGGCAAATTAAAATAAAAAAATTAATAAAGAGTATCTACTAACCCAGCTGGGTCTAGACACGTATTTATTCGCTTTTTTTTTTGATCAGATAAATGACTTTATCTCTCACTCTTCAATGCGTGGTAAAAAATTTAATAGTAATTCTTCTCGTTTTTTAATTTAAAAAAAACTTGCGCTTGGGAAAACGCCGCCGGTAAAACGTATCATGAAATTTTGTACACATTGTCAGGGGTACAAAAAAGGTCATGGGGTACTTTTTATTCAGGAAAAAGTATCGTTTTGGTGGGATAGGTAAATTAATTTTTTGTGATAATGTAGTCGTCGATGAAACCTTGTATTATGATAAATTTCACAGTTTACTTACTAGTTTTATGTAGACATATACCTACTTATGTATAT